TGATCATGCAAGCAAATAGGAGAATAATATTTTAATAAAGTTAAGTACTTCGAATATTCCATATTTTCCTTTCATTTCCCGTCCGATAACTTCGATCATCAAATCTTTAATTACTATATACATTTAAAGCAGTTCCGTATTGGAAATAAGAAAATATTAGTAGTGTTACTATTTCTATTATATAAAACAGAATTTAGTAAAATCACCTTGGAAATTGAAATCATTACTACGATCCACGTCATATCATTTGAATTAATCCAATGGGTCAATTTTATATAATAATTTAGACATATTTTCAAATTGAGATAAATCCAATTTCTTGTCCTTATTGACAATCATTTCCTGAAATTATTCCTTAAATCACTTATTCATAATTTTAAACAACATCAAAAAATGAAGAAAGAGAATTCTAAAGTAGAAAAGTGGTCACTTTGAAATTGATTTTAAAATTACTTTTTTTAAATTCATAAAAACTCGTTTTCATTCTTGTAAATTTAATGTAGAAATTCCATAAATTTCGAAATACTACTTCTCAAAATAATTTCTAATAATATTTTCTAAAATATCGAACTGTGTGAACTTTGCCATTATCGTAGCATAAATTATTCATCAAATTTCTGAAAAAGCAGGATTTAAGTTCTCTTTATCCTTAACATTTATATTACTAAATATATGAAAGAAACATAGAAAACATTGCCATTGAATTTAATTGTGTAACGTATCAGTGAAATATGAATAAATTTATGAATTCACAGCCTATCGAATATATGAAGTCTTCAGCTATATCTATAAGTGCTAAGAGAAATCAATCAGGTCTATGGTTAAGCAAAACTATTGTCTGATGTTTCAGGTAATACTTTTATTTAGGCATAAATCAGTTGAATAAGTAATCTAATTAACAGCAATTTACCTGTAAATATCTGTCGTATTAGTTCTATCGGTTGTATTAGTTATATAAGCTTACAGTCATTTGTGGTCATTGATTTGGAAAATACAATTGACATATAGGAAGGTATTATATAAACAACGTTAGACTGTACATCCTGAAATTCAAACCTTTAGGACAATGCATTCTATAATCTTAATTGTATAGGAACGTTGCTCCAATTCTTTGCTCGAGAAGGTTATAATTCGACTTATTTCTCCATTTTATAAAATATAATTGAACTGAAATGAGAGTATCAGTGATAAGATATGTTGATTGATAAGCCAATCATACCATTTTAGTGGCCAATTTTAACAAAAAATGAACTAAGTGATTACGAATGAAAAGCATTTTATCATCTGAAGGAAGTACTAACAAAGTGTTCCTCCTCATTAACATTACCGAAATGATTGCTTCCTGCGAATTTTAAACAAATTTTTTATTTGTTTTAATATGTCAAACTTAATAAAGAAATAGAATAAATTTTTTGGAAACATTGGTGCTGTCAACAGTTGTTCCTTCATAAAGTTAACATCCATATCTTAAATATTCTTGAAATTAACAATGGTTTTAATTATAATTCTTTCTTGAACATTTCCATGTTTGTTTTTATTATCCTAATAAAACTAATCTTTTCAAAAGCCAAGTCAGTTAACTTCTAAACTTTTAAAAATTCGTAAAAAATTTTTTTATTCTATTGCAGATTTGTATAACATGATATTAAAATTCATGATATATTTGTATTCTATCTTAAAATAATCTTAATAATCTCGATTATATTTCTTAGTAATTTTTGCACCAAAATTCAAACTATCAAGTTTCTTAAGATTAATTATACATTGTTAATGATTTGCTCGTTCTCCTCAAATTAATTACCATTAAGCATTGCGACGATTTTTATGACATATTATTGACCAATACAATAACACAAAAGAAAATTTGATTTCCATAATTTTCTTTCAACATTTTACGAATTTTTCACATTGAAATAATTACAATAATTTGTTAACAAAAATAATTAATAATTTTCATTCTTTTCTTTGATCTGAGAAATAAGCACAATTTTATTTAAATTTTCAAAATGTATTTATTTGAGGAATTACCATGAAATAATTTTATGGAAAACATAAGGTATTAAGTAAAGAGCTGTTGATAATTTAATCAAACAACTGGAAGGAGAAGCATTTCTATTTCTATTTCAATACGATAACATTATAATGAATGATCCTTAAATTGTTTATATTACCAACAATTATAGAAATTAAAGCGCAAAAGTAATAAAATTTGCTAAATTTGTCAAAACACAATAATACATAATAAAATATTGAAAACTAATTATCAATTCAAAATAAAAACAAATAAAACAAAATTTTAATTTTATATATTTCGCATTGCAAGTGAGAAAAGTAATAATGAATAGAATGCTGTCATAATGGATTAAAATGAAAATTAAAGTGCTAATGTGAATAATGCAATATGAAATTTTGCTTAATTGCAATAAAAAATTAGAGATAAAATAGTGCCCATAATTAGCTCTGAAAAGAAATTATTTCCTTTATTAAAATAAAGGTGTTGGAGATATTATCTATCGTATGCAACCTAAGCTAGCAGTTCAATTTTCGCGTATCTTTTCATGTTTTAGCGAATTATCATTCCGTTTGCCACACATATCACACCTGCACAATCTCTCGTTTGCATGAATTCGTTTATGTTTATTTAGATTCTCGTGTCGATTGAAGCCTTTATCGGATGATACATCGCATTTGCACTATCTAGATTATGTTTGCATGCGTCAGATTATGTTCCTTACATCTAGAAACCTTCGTCACATAGAACATATTTTTTTCTCATCTTTAATCATTATTTGACCTGTCATTCTGGACCACTTGAAGATTTCTAATGCCAAAGTGTTCAACCATGTTCAATTTCGTCGTGGCATTTTTCTGTTTTATGTTGTTAGTAATTCTTGCTTGCGTTAATGGGTCATTTCATTTGACAATTGAAATAATGCGGAATGCTCTTATTTTTTTCCTACTAATTACAGCATAGAAGAATTAACGAATTGATGCTTTCGGAATGATTCCGGAAGTTCAATGCAAGATTAAACTATTTTCTGTGTTGAACATTTATTGTAATGTTGCAGAGTATTACTGCAAAATATACTGGCTGCTTGGAAAGTAATGAGGAAAATTGGTAAGAACAATGTTATTAAAAAAAAATTTTTTTCGCAACTGAAACAAAAAATTTATGAATACTTTGTAGAAGTAACAATTTGTTTTTACTCTGAACCATATTTTAATACTCAGGTCAACAAACTGCCTGAATTGACCTGAATATTAAAATATGGTTCAGAATATGATTTTGACAAATTCTATCAAAACTTCAGTGTGAAGAAGTAGGAAATATTTCTCAGACAATATTTGTCGCTGAAGTCCCATTGCCCTTTTAACACAGTCCCAAAATTGACTGCCAAATATGGCATATATTTTCCCTTCATAATTTCCAAATTCATACAATTAATTATTCAGAAAAATTAAAATTTACAGTACTCCAAAGCCATATGGAAGGAATAATATTAAGTTACCTTTCAAAGATTGGAGATATAACTTCCAAAGAATAGAAGTCAGCGTTTAATTGATGAGTTATGAAATCTTTAAATGCCTTAGAAATAAATCAAAGTGAACCAAAAAACTGATATTCTTACAGAAAAATATCATCGTCAATTCCATTCATTTCTTTGTTTTAAATTCATCTGGAGTTTTGTATTATGATTATACCGCACTCGCTTCTCAAATATACGCTGTCATGTTTTTAAAAAAACTACTATGCCAACCTTCCCTTACAATTAGTTCGATAGCATGCTGAATAGATTTTATATAAATGAAACCATTCTCTATTGTTTAAAATGACAGTGACAAGGGAAATATTAATATAAACGCTTTGACAGAGAACATCATTATGTAGCTAATAATGTACTCAATGCCTAAATCACGGGAAATTGCTTTAGTAGCCTAAACAACCTATTCTCGTAACAATCCATTAATTCAGATTAACTGGACTATTATTAAATCAACCAATGATTACTTTGAAAGATGCCAGGACGACTGTGTAGCCTCTATTTCTGCATGATTCGCCAATGAATCAGAAAAATCCATAAAATTTTCAGGCAAGGAGACGAAATCAAATTTTATTAATTGAAACATAGGATTATTATCACAATAATGTACAACAACATCAAAAGAACAGTACCGCTACTAATTCTGAATACAGCATAACAAAATAACAGTAATACCACTAAAAATAGGTAAAAAACTTCGAAAAAGTTATGATTTCGGAAAAGATTCCTCAATTTGATTTCTGAAAACTCAACCAGAGTTTGATCGTAAGTAAAGATAAAAAGAACATAAAAGAGAATGAAGAACTATTAATAACACGATTTACCTTTTCGCAATTTATAAATATGGAACAAATATGCAGATGCAAATCAACAAGCTATGGTAACGATGATTAACAATGCTACACTTTAAATAAATTGGCAATATAAGTGTTGGCAACATTACTAAATGGTTGTATTCCCAAACTACTGTTGATGCAAAAGATATGAAATGCTGTGAAAAGTTTCTTGCGTTTGACAGCCGAAATTATGGTATTTGAGAACAAATTTCGCATGTATTGTGATTGATCAGAAAATCTTTGTCGCTAAGTTTTGTTATTTCTCTTACGGAAGAAAAGAAAAAGGTATGGAATCGCAGATGCTTAGAAATGATACGCGTTTTTAAAGAAGTAAACAAAAATTCATATTACAAACCAGACAAGCATTGTACAAAAACATATTTTCATTAAAAGAAACTCAGAATGAAAAAAATTACAATATATTATTTATAAAATTCAAAAATAAGAAAATTCTATAGTGTTTTATTGCAAAAGCTCTGGAGTATTTTAGAGAGAAATTAATCATTTTTAAAACGTCAATATTGCACATCAAAAGTCGAACAGTACTTGGAAATGATAACTGGTTCATTTACCAAAAAAACATGAAAACTAATAAAATACAAAACTTAAAAAGTAACGCTTTTCATTTGCTTTGCTTAATTAATTCCTGATCTTTGGCTACTAATGTTTGTGCGGCATTGAAAAGATGAAGTAGGCTAATCATTGACTTTAGTAGCGCAAATGGGAAAAAAAGTGCCGCTAGCAATGAAATGAGATGAACACCGTGGACACCTGGACCAGGCCAAAAATGAGTGATATATACCAAGCTGTAAAACGCCTCGTTCCCCAAACACATCACAAAGAGGAATGGACGAGATGTATAATAGAGATGCAAAACTGCATTTGATGATTGCTGAAAATAAAAGATTAATTCTGAATCCAACATTAAAACATCAAAATCTTCGTATATGTATCTGTCTCTTGCCTTCTCTATATCTAAGAGAATGTAATATACTTCAGGGTCCACTTTATTACGCACATTCTCCAAAAACGCGCTCATAAACATAAAGGTTTGATGTCAGCATCTTAAACCAGGCGTATCTCTCAATACGTTGTGTTTAAATTCAATGTATGTTAATTCTCAAATTCGTATTTGTTGTTTAAAACTTACTTTGTGGGTCGTTTTACCCGTCACATCGCTAGCATGAAAATGGAGCCAATGCGAAGCAATATCAACCACGGCTGATATTTGGAAATAAAACAAGTAATCGGGATAGAAACATCCGCAACATATTACCAATGCCATGAGAGCACAACGGTCCGTTAACATGTCGAGCATAGCACCAAAGCGTGATGCTTAAAATGGAATAAAAATTAAACAATTCTTAAATAAACTAAAAAATTAATTCGAGAAGAAACTTCATTAATCAAGTATACTTCCAGCAGAATTCAGCCAATCCCGATGAGGACTACATTCCGATGAACAATTTAAATTTTCAACATTAATGCTCTTAAGAGATTTCATTTTATTAGAAAATCCGACTTATTCATAAAGAGATCTAACAAACATTGATTACACAGCCGCGCCACATATCCATCAACAGCATCCGAAGCAGCACTTAGAAAATAACAAATTGCCGCGCGCCACGGCGCATAGGTCATAGCCTCAAATGATGCTACAGCTAGGATAATGCGCAGATAGCCAATTAGATTCGGATAAAAAAGCCAAACGTTCGTTTCTACCATTGTCAATCTTAAAAATTGAAAACAGAATTTTTTACTTTATGCAAAACGATGCTTGCAGCGACATACATGGCCATTATGCCTTTAATCAAGAATACTTAGATAATAAATACGAGGAAATATCGGTAATTAGATAATAAATACGAGGAAATACGAGGAAGAAAAAAATTAGAAGAAAGAAAAAGATACGAAGTATCAAAGAAAATTAAGGTTTTGCAATATATATAAAAAGGCCTCATTTAGCTGTCAGAAACAATTCGCTAAAACATTTTTTAAATGTTAATTTAATATAAAAACTTTTATATATCAGCTTATTGCAAAATAAACAAAAAATGGGGTTAGCAAAATGAAAAGAAGACCTACAATATGTATAGAAACTAAAACTGAGGTCACATTAAAAATCAAAACTAAAACTGACAACATAGTTACCTCAACATTTCTACAAGTCTCAACTTCTCAGATATCAGAGTGTTTTAATATCAGTATCATAAAACAGAACTATGGATTTGGATAGTCTAATAAGAAAAAAAGAAGTTCAACAAAAAGTAATTTTTTAATGAATTGTCTGAAAGGAAGAAACATACCAAAAGTATATACAAATGTAGCGGAGCATGAAGTGGATCCCTGTTCACACTAGAGAAACAAAAATCAATGATGATGATGGTGATGATGCTGCATATTCCAGTGCTTCATTTGCGTACACTGAAAATAAAAAAACAACGACTTCTTGAGGAAACCTTATACACCCGATTCTTTTGCAGTGTTGAGGAGGACTCTATTAGAAATGCAGAAAGAGAGAAAGTAGAAGTCAGCTGGGCATGGAATTTCTGATAACCACAAATGACAAATGGACAAAGACTATCGAACCGCAAGAACGTTTAAAAGTTGAAAAACTGTTGCAAGGTATGGAAAAGATCAAATAATATTGAACAACATAAGTTATGATCTTTAGTAACAGTGAAAATAGTTCGTTTTTTTCTCCTTTTCTTCCCTCCTTCCTGCTGCATAACTAAAGTCCCAATGCGACTTTTTCCGTGTCACATGCATAGCTTTCCACTGCATGCATTAGGCCTAACATGATGAATCATCATTTTTAGAGTGCCGTGCAATCGACATCAATAATACTACTCGAAGCTCAATAAGATAACACGGTAGTGTTATTTTTATCCAATTTCAATATGAAATTTGCATGAAATCATCGATCCTGTCAGTTAGATTTCACTATAATTAAATTTTCTACTATCATGATTTTGACTGCAAAACTTGTCCGCTTTGCAAGTTCCTCGACTAAAAACATCATGAAGACAGAAAGACGATGGATGATGTACAAACTTACTTTGAACTTTTCTGTCACTTTGCTTTCCAAAGAATGCAGCACCTATTACAACTCTTCCATTCTTGTTTTCATTTTAACCAATTCTGAAAATTTCTCGCAAGCAGTGCTTGAAAGGTATTTGAAACCACACAATGGATGGAACTGTTCAGAAACCACCAGGTTTGACCGGGGGAAGTATAATGGAACAATAAAAGACAAAAAATGCCAAGGAGGGGATTCTTAAAAAATTAAATAACGTAAAATTATCAGAAAAAGCTTATCAAAGTCTCGGTTGCAAATCTCAACCTTCGTTTTTCCCACGTTGACCGCTAAAATAGTTGTTAACAGTGTTAAGAATAAGGGATGAATTTTTGCATTGAAGGCATGCAAAACATTTTTAGGTAAGGGATGCGTTTGTTTCATATTGGGGTGCACCGAGGTATCTCGGGAGTAGTTTTGGAGATGTATTTGACAGGAAAGATTCGTTCGCTCTGTTATTCTTTTTTCTTAACACTGTCTTTTTTTTTCTTAACACTGTTTTAACAAACCCTTCCCTACCTTTGACCCTTTTGGAAATATTGAACCAAACATATCCATTCCAAGACGCACTCGTAGCCGGCGTGCTAACGCGTTGCGTGAAGCAAAGTGCTGCGCAGTTCTCCAGTAATTCACTGATGCTTAGACTAGAGGAAGAAGTGAGCGGACTTCACTTTAAACTTTTGTGAAATCTACTGGTGCTGTATCCTCTATTTTAGTTAATTGTGAACGCCATGTTTTGCATGTATTTAAGTTGCTCAAACTTTAAATCTTTCAGATTTTAGCTCGTTTTAACCGCTCCGCGGGCTAAAGACATCCAAATAGGGGAGAACATAGAGGAAATGGCCGCTACAGCAGCAGCAGCAGGAGCGGATTTCCATTATGGCAATGCCGCGGGCGGTGGGGTTGGATATAATGGAGCGGTATGTTTCTTTTATAATATTCAAACTTCAAGAGTGTAAATAATGGATGGCTAGGAAATATTTTACGTAGGGAAGTTGTCTTCTCTTCAGGACTTTAATCAACTGCTGGATATTTTAAGTCACAGACTTGATTTAACTTAGTATTGATGTTCACAATATCCTTAATTTTGAAAATTTAAGATCGTAATGAATTTTTCTTTACTGGGTATATAATAATGGATGCTGGCGATGCATGCTATTTTGACAAAGGATTAACTTCAGAATAACTTCAGGGTGGACCACCGGGAGCTTTTCCTGGTGGTTATGGTGGCGCTCCAGGAGGTTATGGAGGATATGGTGCTCCAGGTTATGGAGGTTATGGCGGTTACGGTTACATGGATACTCAAAGTCCACTTGATGCGGAAATCCAGGTTTGTGAATTAATTTTGCAAAAGACAATGAAAAGATTGTGATAATAAACAGCGCATCTTTAACTTTTTGCTTGCTCAAGTTATGATCTGCTGGCGGATAAGGAAGCGAAGAAGAACTGGTTCTTTCGCCAACTTTGTGCTAATAATGTCAAGTATTTGGTAGAAGTCTCAATTTTTAATGTTTAGCATATGATTCTTATATGCTTATCTTTGTTTAAAATTTCATAGAGAATCGTTTGCGAGCAAATAACTGTTTAAGTTATCCCACGACGCAACGTGCTCACTCGCTAAATTTCCTTATGGCACAAAGGTAGCGAATTATTCCTGAGATTTCGGATGGGAGGTTTCAATATCAAGACGATTTACAGGTCGTAATTCGCGAAATACATAATGAGCAACAACTGATGGAGCAGGGTGGTGAGTGGGGCGAACAGTTCAAAAATGCAAAACGATTGTTAGCTGCTGAAGCAGATAAGTTAGAAAATTCCATTGATCCAGAATGGCTCGAAGTTGACATCGCCAAACCAATTAAAGTCTCCAAAAAGGTTAAATTTAATGTGATTTTTCATCTTTCTACTTCAAATTAATAATTTAATGTAACCTGCTGTTCTTGTCACAAGTGCTGCATTAATCCATAAAGGCACCAGTTGAGATTGGAAAGGAAACTAAAATATGAGACTGATATTCAAAACGGATTCTTTCAGCTGAAATTTCCTCTTTCCAGGTTCTGATTCCCAACTTCAGGCACCCACATTTCAATTTTGTTGGTAAAATTTTGGGACCAAAAGGAGCAACGTTGCAGGCTATGGCGAAACAGTTTAAATGTCACATTTATGTGCTTGGTCGTGGTTCTACTAAAGATCGCGCCAAGGTCTTTATAAGTTTTGTTTATGTTCATTGTCCTAAGGTAGTGACAATGAGAGAGTTAGGGATCGGCTGTTGTTAAACCCTTTCCTTGATCGGGGGTAACTTGTAAGTTTATAAATCTAACCGAACTTTTTTGAAAGGAACAAGAACTCCTGCAGAGTGGAGATCCGCAGTATGCCCATTATGGTGGACCACTTCATGTAAAAGTAGAAACCATTGCACCAGCACATGTTGCATATCAGCGAATAGCAGGCGTTTTAGAGCAGCTTTCCACCACTTTGCAACCAGTAAGTTTTCGTCTTTTCTTTTTTCATTTGTTTTGTATGTTCAACAAAACTTCTATGACATTTTAGTGGGATATGAATGCAGTGATTGCTATTCATTATTTGCATTTGTTTATTAACCTTGTTAAGGGCTGAAAATCTGATCTTTTGATTTCTGTAAGAATTGATGTAATAAATAGTTCTGTGAGTCCTGTGAGCACCTTTGGTACATTAAGTTGGTGCTGTGGTATGTTAGGCAGGTGTATTGATTTGCAGAAAAATTAGGCTTTAAATAGTTAAAATTCGTTTAATTCGTATGTCAGTTGAACTGTTGTTTCTGATCACTCTATTATAGGTTTATTTCATGTAGTTTCTGACATAGTTTTCCGTTGCGCTATTTAACGTCATTAGAATAAACCTTTCAGACACGAGACGAAACTTTTGACAAAATGAGTAATCAAGGCGGAGGAGCAGGCGATGGTGGTGAAAAAGGTATTTCTTTTTAATGAATATCTGAGTTTAATAAAAATAATTCTCTTGTAAAATTACTCTTTGTTCTGATGACGTTTATAGCAGATGGTGGAGAAGATGCAGGTGACGATCAACCAGGTGGAGGAGCAATGCGAGGAGGAAGAGGAGGTTTTCGTGGTGGCCGAGGTGGAGAACGTGGTGGTTTCCGGGGACGTGGTGGTGATCGAGGAGGAATGCAACGTGGCGCTTACAGAGGCGTGCGAGGAGCTGGTGATCGTGGAGGGTAAGACAAACACTTTTTCATCTCAAAATAAGTAAGCAGTTGTTCTGCTAATTGCGAAAAAAGAAAAAAATGATTTCGGAAACATTTATTTATTCCGGAAACATTTATTTACTACTTACTATGTTTTCATATCATTTTTTTATTTCAGATATCGCCCATATTGAATGCAACCTTGAGTGACACGTGTCTTCAATAATCCCACAATTCCAAATTAAAACAATTTTAAAATATTTTTTTATCCACTTCTTTGGGCTCTTCCTCATATCCCTTTCAACTTTGATCTACGGATCTCAACAAGTCATCGCATTCTGTAACAATACAAATATGGTTAGTCATGTTTTTAAAAAAGGTTTCTGACGGCTTGGTAGGAGTAACAGAAGTTCGTAATATAGGTAGCTTTCAGTTTTTCTAGGAATTTTGCTTTCAAAATATTTGTTCTTGTCAGCTTGCTTTTGATGTTATCTTGGTTACAACATGCACTTCTCATCTTTCTCTTATCCATTCAGTTTAATCTCTATTATTTTATTTTGACTTCCATTGGGTTATTCAACAATTATTCAAAAACCTTAATTCAATCTTCATTTAAAAAAACTGTAATAAGTACCTTATAACAAGCAAGCTGTTTGAACACTCTCAGGTGGTAAAGCAATAAAATATATATTCAATCAATGCAATGAAATATAATTTATCTTACAGGTGGTATCGAGCTTCCTCACTCAAACATAAAAGCTAAACTTAAATAATCGGCAATCTTCAAATTAAACTCTCTCAAATGAAAGTGATGAATGAGAAAGAGAAAATTGGATGGTCACGCTGAGATCTACAAATTTTTAAAAAGCACAGATTAAATTTTTCCAGTGTTAAATTTTTAAATTTTCAGTGTTAAGTATTATTTTTGCTTTTTCGTTTTTTTTTAAGTGGTAATATTCATTTTTCTAGAACTTAGTCATTATTCTAATAATATCGGTTGCGGGTGGTGCTGCATAGGTTTTGACAATGGGAGAATGGCTGATACTTCAAAATCTGATGTGTGCGACATGCGCAACATTTTCCCTCCCGCATTAAAGCTTAATTTTTTTTTATTTTTTTCACATTGTTCATTAAAAATATTTGATGGCCATACTCTTGGTGGCCATATTCTTAGTGATAACAGTTCATACTAGATTTACTCTACATCAACAGTTGAGATGTTAGGTTTAAGAAAATCATTAAATATAGCAGCCCATCCGCAGCTTCTCTCAAATGTTAAAATTTGTTCACAGTTATATTGCTCGAATCCACCAGTAAAATGTTCTTTTGTTAATGTGGGATTTTGTCTAACATTAAATCAGTAATGACTTGCTAATTTCGGATTAATGTGCACTGTTTTGTTGAAAAATTTTCAAAAAAATTTATGTCAAGAAGTAGATAGAAGTAGTGGTGGTTCTAAAACATCATTAATAAAAATCATTTATTTAATAAGGTCTCAAAGACCATGAGATTTTTTAAAGAAGACTTTGTAAGAGATACAAAATTTTTGTATCTCTTACAAAGTCTTCTGCAAGGAATCTTATGACAGGAGAAAATTGCATATTTCACAGCTTAAACAAGCTGTCTGATATTTAGTAGATGAAATTTGAAGAGCAATGCTGTAATATATATCTTCTAAGATCTTAAATTTTAGTCAAGTTATAATAAGTTAATAAATGCAGAAGATCCATATCGCTGCGATTCAGGGCTCTGGTATTTAAACAATTTAATTATATATTTAAACGCAGAAAGTGCTGATTATTTCACCTGTTAAATGAAACTGATACAAATTTTGACAAGAGATTTTTGGTGCTTGCTAAGTGTTTGTTCGCGCTCAATCTTTGTAGTCAGAATATGCTTAAGGTCTAGAAATAATAAGAATCTAAGATCTGGCTGTCTTTAACTCTTGTCGGGAGAGAGAGTGCTATAATTTGTGGTATTTTTATTAACAGAGAATCTCAAATTATATTATATAATGAATATATCTATATTGCAACATTTAACGAACAAGGAACAAAAATTGTTAATAAACCGAAAACATGGACATAAATCGGCCATTTAATTATGTATGGTTAAGTTTTTCTTCGGATATTTGTGGAACTTTAAGGTAAGGCTTAAGCGAAATCTAACTTTCACCCTAGATAAGTCCAAATTATAACATAAATAATATTCCGAACAACTTCCAATAATTTCCAAAAAATAATTTTCGTAATGTAAGTAAATTTGGATATCTACTGAACATAAACATATTTCAGGACCATTGGTTCTCAATTCGGGTGTTCATCATTGATCTACTACTTCGTGAAGCGGTGCTAGCTTTGGATATCGATGATCTCATTGTTCCAGTGCCTTTTCTAGGCTTTTAAGATAGTTTTGTTGTATAAATATTCTTGACACATATCAATTCTTTCTAATAAATTTTTCTGTAGTATTGGCTTTGATGAGGTAAAACTCGTTTTTTCGAGGTCAAACATCTCTACAGATGGGATGTGAAAGTTTTCCAAGCTAGTAATTGTTGAATTGCTACGAAAATTTTATGATTTGCAGTTAGCAGTACTTTTGGTGCATAATTTTTGTCAGCAGTCCACTTCATACTCGGAATTCATAATAATTATAATAGATGCAGTTGCTGGATATGTGGTCCTTGATATATCGAATTCGAAGTTAGTTTTCCGACATGAGAAGTAATACACTTGTGAGCTAGATCTTGTACAAGCCGAGGGTTTGAAAAAAGCATCCGAGAAGACTTGGATGTTGAGTAATAATGTTCGTTCTTTTGATATTTGTATAATTTTTGGAAAAGCATACTTATGTCACGACTAGCTGTAAGAGGTTAGATTATTGTTAATGATTTAATCATTCCGTTTGTAGGTTGATGGACGGTTATTGTGGAATGGATTAATGCTAAATAACGTTTAAATATTGTTGATGTATTAGCATTTATCAATACCTATTTCATTCTACAGTTTTTAAATGGATGGTAGGAAATTAGTCGATATTAGCCAGACCATGTTATTACGGAATCATTCAGAATTTTTTGATTGCGTTCATGTAAATATGTTGTGTATGTTGTTTGAATGGGTAAAAAGGGATGAAATACGCTTTGCAGCAGCAATTTTCACAATCTGTTCTTTACGCTTCAAATGTCAAATGTTTCTCCGATTTTGAAAAATGTTGGCTTGTGCGCTCTCCTTTCTTCACCTGTTCTGTATGTTTTGTGTGCAGCAGATAAATGCACGGAACGGAACTTGTGTGTTTGTGTTCTATCTGTATCGCTTTGTCCGTTCTATAATTTTCGCTATGTGTTACAGTGAGAAATGAAAGAACGCATTTACATTTGTTCTTGTTCTTTTGGAAAGGTACTTAGCGCTTGTGGCATAAGTTTAATTTTGTTCAGTCACACGTATAAAAAGAGTACAATTTTTCTCATAGGATGCGAATCTTATTACACTCCATTTCTCTTTGCAAGAAATAGGAATATGTAAAGCTGGAAGTGTTTAAGTGCTCATAAGATCTCATTAGAGATCTTGCTGGATTTTACAATGCATTATAGATGTATGGATTTATAGTTTGTTTCTAAATATGTGGTTGCATTTTGCTTCAACTTATTGGTCATATATCTGGAATTTTTAAGTTCTTCATTTCATTCAGAAACAAACCATTAAAAAAAGTCTAATCCTGCGAAGTATCTAACCGTAAGCATCAATTTGTTTTAAAATTTATGCATAGATTTTACAGTGCTTCTAAATTCAATATGCCGGTGAAGATCGATACAAACAAGGAAGGCGACGGTTAGTTTACTGTTTCACATTTTAGTCGTTAATATTGTTCACAATATCATGACTTGTGTTGGTTCACCCACTGACTTTATTTTCAGTTATTAGCGATACCTGGTCTTTGATAGCGGATGCTCTCCATTATTTCTTTGAGTTGTCTGAAACATATGGCGCTCATATTTTTTTTACCTTCTTGCACTGTGTGATAATGTAAAGAAGATGCTTACTTCAAGTGTCCTGCAAGAGTGATGAAGTGTTTTAGCAGGTTTTTAAGGAATGAAGTTTAGATATTTTCAGGCCAAACATTTCCGAAGACGGGACAAACTGTAACTTGCCACTATGTGTTGACTTTGGAAAGCGGAAAAGAAGTAAAATTTCCAACTGTTTCAACAATTCCAGTGTAATTTCTCACTTGAGATTTTGTTTCTTAATATTTTTGATTTTTCAGTGCTTAATTTGCTTATTTTAGGTAGACAGTTCTCGTTCACGCGGTAAACCATTCAAATTCAAGATTGGTTGTGGTGAAGTCATCAAAGGATGGGACGAAGGTGTTGCAAAGGTTTCCTTGGACATATTTAAATTAATTGTAATTTCTTCCAATTTTAGTTCATAAAGTTTAGTTATGCTCAGTCCTCAGCAACACTGGTAGCTAGATAGACACAAGTAAGTCAAACTTAACGTGTAATTTGCAGATGTCTGTTGGTCAGCGTGCGAAGTTGACAGTTTCACCAGATCTTGGTTATGGTAGTCGAGGAATTCCAGGTGCTATACCACCAAATTCAACTCTGATTTTTGATGTTGAACTTCTTGGTGTGGAATGAAGGTGGTGACCTTACTGTATCATTCAGTCGCTGCCATCTACCTCCAACTATCTATGATTGTCCTCAGCCTTTGATTATAAAAGTGATAGGCTATTTTGCGTTGTAAATCCTACGGAACGGTCAGGAATTGAGGTTGAAGCTTTAAATTAATTTCATTCTTCGTGGGATTTTAAATTTCCTATTAAAATATTCGTGTGATTTATTTTACCCTTTCTCCTTTTGCTTACACTTGTTTTACTTTCCCAACTTAGCAATCTGTAATCTGCCATTGATCAAAATGTCGTTACTTGCTGGTAAACTACTTGCTGTATTTTTCTTTCGCACTGACATACTGATGAAGTTTGTTTTCATCCTTAAAATGATTATGCTTAATGCCATTAAAAAATTATTTCTTTAACTATAAGCTGTTGTTGGAAATTAAATAGCTTTTGTTGTAACTCCTTCATATCTTTATTTTATTTGTAATGGTTAGTTGAAGTAAAATGGATGGGTCGAAACCAAAATCCAGAAGCTTCAGTAACTTATGAGACAAAAATTGATAACCTGTAATGTTATTTTGAGGTTATCCCTAGTACTTAAAGTTGGTGCTGCAGAATTCTTATTACTGACTGGAGAAGTTGAGTAAGCTTAAATTCTTAATTCGTGGTCGGTTCGGTAAATTCCAATCTTGAATTAACTATCATTGATGCGATGCAGGTCGATATCTTATCAAAGCGTAAGGCATCATTAATGCAAGAATTATTTTTTGTTTCTGTGATATTGGTTTTTGGGTTAGAGAAGGTTGAAAGATAGTATGAATCAAAGACGAGCTAAAAGAAAATTGGCAATGAGACATATTTGCAGAGCGTCGTTTGCTTACCGTTGGTTTGATAACGGTGTATTAGCTGTTCAAAATCTCGAGTGGAGTGTTATGTGGAGACCACGGTTACTTCAAAATGTTAGGAAAAGTCGGTATTTGCTAAATATTCCACCGTCCACGTCGTTAATTTACCCAGGTGACTTTCACTAAAAGAAATTCAGAATTCTTATTATTTACTAGGGAAGTTGGGTAAGCTGGTATTAATAAGACTATATGCTTCTGTATTGTTTGGAAGATGAAATAAAGTTGTCAAATAACCAAAGTTTATTTAACATCCTGCTAAAGGAAGAAGACCATAAGAAAGGAATGAAGTGTTAAGCGGAGAGAATACTGGCTAATTTGTTTAGAGAATGTTGGTTGTTTTAAATCTTATTTCTCGTTTTCATAATAATTTCTTTCCAAGACACTGAAGAGCTTTTTTTATTAATGATATTTTATTAATGATATTAACGAAAAGAGCGCATATTAGAATTATGGATGCAATAGCGAAATCAGTTCTTGAGTGGTTTAAAAGAATATGTTGTTTACTTTTCTTTTCATACTTTTCAACAATAATACAATTGAAGTTGCAGCTCGAAATATGTTTATCCAAGTGCAAGAGACTCCTAACCCAGAATCTGTAAAATTTATTCCGGGTAAAACGATTATGGGGAAAGGTAAAGGGACGCTTAGTTTCACTAACTTCTTGTCTGCAAAAAGGAGTCCTTTGGCCATGTAAGCTATCATGTTATCCGTTTTTATGTGGCACATTGCACAAATTGTGACAATTATTATTTTTAGAACGTTTATCTATGTGTTATTCTTTTCATTTATAAATCAAGAAAAATTCAAAATTATTAGTTGAATCATAATTTATGTAGATGTAAACAGTAATCTAATGAAAGTGTGAATGGAGTTACTTTCCTTTTGGAGGATTTCCTTTTTTTTATAGGGAACTCATGCGAATTAATGGTGTAAAAAGCGTTTTCTTTGGCGAAGATTATGTTACAATTACGAGACAAAAGGAAGTTGATGATTGGGCACTGTTAAAACCTGAAATTTTTGCAGTACTTATGGATTATCTACAATCAGAGAAACCAATCGTAAATGAAGGTGAAGTGCCAGAAAATCCCGAGGATACTGGTGAGTTTTTAAGAATTTCTTAATGTGGTATTCTTCTGTAAAGGAAAAAAGGAGGCGCTCTTTTCAAATTAGTATTTCTATTTTACATATTTATTAAGACTCTATTTTCATATTTAAGAAATACATCCGGAGGATAGTGATACAGTAGCAATGATCAAGGAATTGTTAGAATACCGTATAAAACCAATGGTGCAAGAAGATGGCGGTGACGTGATATATAAAGGTTTTCGCGATGGTGTAGTGCATCTTAAAATGCAGGTAATGAGGTAGCGAGGATTGAAGTTACAAAAGGCTCAAATTTTCTATGAAGGATTTTTTTTTCTATCTATCACTACTAGATACATCCTGCTCTTTAAAATCATGCTCAAAATCATTTACTTTCCAGTTGTCACACTTTTCAGGGATCATGTACGGGATGCCCAAGTTCATCGGTGACACTTCAGTCTGGTATCAAAAACATGCTACAATTTTATGTGCCTGAAGTAAGAGATGTTGTGGAGGTTAAAGACGAGATAGATAATATTTCGGATTCGGCTTTCGACGATCTGATGGGCAAAATTAGGGTAAGACCGAACCGAAACGAGCAGAGTAAAGAGTGAACCTCAAATTTTGCATCTTTATCTGCTTTGAATATTGCAGTAAAAAAATTAGGAATAGCTCGATGATTGAAAGTGAAGAAATAGATATTCTTGATTGCATGTTACCGTTTTGCATAATTTTTGCCATGTAGTTTTCAAGCACAACGAAACAGTCATCCTTTTGGACGATTATGAATTGATGCGAAGTTCTGGCAACAATAATAAGTTTTAGAAATCGTCATTACTGGATATTGTTTCCAGAATTCAGTAAAGACCAATCATGCACATCGCATCCCATGTGCAGTGTCTAATAAATACAAATTATCAAAAGCTTCACATTGTTGGCAGGGATGCAAATTCAATTACCAATATGGGAATCTGTAGTCGGTGTAGTCGGAGATTTACACTCTGTTTTCAATTTATAAATTCTTATAAATGCAAAAAAAGTGCTTGAACACATCTGATTTTTACAGAATGAATTCATCAGTAAATTTAGTCTTTAAATTATTGCTGCTAATGAATTTAACTTTGCCGTGGACTTTTAATCCTCAATTTTCCTCTTTAAACTAATAAAAACTACCGAAATGGAATTGTTATTTAAAGATATTATGGTCGATTTGATAAAGCAATCTCATCCTTATCTAAAATGAAATTTTCAATATAGACTGAACTATGTATTTGCGATTTTAATTCAAATCAAATATTGATTTACTTATTTGTTCGTCTCTTTTTTAAAAAATATATAGACTGAGTATGTATTTGCGATTTTAATTCAACCCAAATAAAAAGTCATTAAAAACTATGAAAATCTGTCTAATGATTATCGTGCGAGCGGAGAAGACAAAAGTAATGCGGTACAATAAACTGTTTATGGCCTTTGAATCTTTTTTCCGAAATTTGATTAAACGGATAATAAAAAGTAAGACGTGCGCAATATTTGATAAGTGATGCAAGTTTTCCGGATTGGGATTCGCCAGGATTTATTATTGCAACTTGCAGCAAAATTTTTAACAATTTAACACTTGCTGTATTAAAAGCCTGGGCGATGGTTAGAAGTTCGAGTAAGCAAAGTTTTTAAAACGGTCCATTTTCTTTCTTTTGTGACTTGACTTATTTCACGGAAGGCACTGTTTATCGCTTACGAAAGGAATACTTCCATTTCCTGTACTCATTCGGGATAAGTTCAAATATAATCTAATATAAGCTACATCCAATATGGGTCTAATACAATACATAAAATATTACATCTATTACATACGTAATATCAAGTGACATAAATTGTGCAGATTGCACACATTCTACCTAATGTGCAAGTCACCTGCCACTTAAGTTCTTAATTGATGAAAGAAAGATCACTCACACGTTGCATTTAGCGATACGACATGATAGCCCAACCTGCGCTAACTCGGATCTGTTTCATTACCAGCAATTTCACTTATTGTCTTCTTTCATTGCATAACGTGACACATCGTATGAATCTTTTTAATATTCGTACTGCTTCCGTGCAGAAGTGATAATAGAATTTGGATGTTTCTGTGAGTGAGGTGGTAAAACAAGTAGGAGATCCATTGCGTAGCCTTGTTTTGGAACGGATAATTTACTTAGAATTTGTAAAAATGAACGAACGAAGTGGAAAGAGAAATCAGGTACGTATTAAAAAATGTTGTGAGGAATTGCTTTTGGGTTTTCAATTTCTGTTTTTTACTCTTCATCATCTCGCTAATAAATTTCGCTCGTCACTATTTTCAGGAAAATATTTTTTAAAGCAACTTTTCTATTTTTAATCAGTCAATATTCCAAAAATAGTGTGCATTAATTTTCAGTTATCTTAATCAGTGAAGTGATGTTACAGTTAGAAAGAGAATGCCAGATTAGGTCAGTGAATATTGGTAATTTAGTACTCTTATCTCAGTTTCTGACGGAATAATGTGATCTTAATCAAAATTTTTAAACAGTTACATCTATTAAAAGTCTCAGACACAATATTAGAAGACTTTTCCACACAAAGTTGTTTTATCCTTGATTGTTTACTCATTCTTTTAACTTCCATATATATAAAATTACATACAACTGTATTTTAGATTTTAGTATTATCGTCTTCATTGGTAGATTCAGTGAATAATCGTTTAAGTGTTCATTGTGAGAAGTGTTCTACGAAGGCAGTATGGTGACTATAAAACAAAAGGAAGATGTGATGGAGATGAAGGAATACACTTATCACTCTATTTTGAAATTTTGTATTTGCTGCTTACATTTTAGTCTTTTCTGAGACATAAGATTAATATAAGCAATCTTCTATTTCTCTTACTTATCAATGATACTTTTTATAGAAACATGATTTTAATTTTCTTATTAAATCATTCCAAGTGTTTTATTAACTTTTTTAAATTTCATTCCAAATAGTTTATGCGCAGCCGTTCAATCACACGTTGCTGAATGGGACTTTACGGCATTCGTCAATATAGCCATTAAAGATTAAAAAACAACTGGCACTTCATGCCATGCACAAAACAGTCAAGCTCTCTCAACTTCTATCCCGGAAATTCTATTCATGACACACACGCAAGCTATAAAAGATATTCTCAGAGTTGGCGAAATGTTTAAGCATAAGGAAAAATATAAAGATATTTATGTAAGATGAATACGAAATATGGCTGTTACTCATTGTCTCCTTAGCTAGGATACATTATAATTAAAACTTATATAATTATTCTGTATATTGAGAGTTGTATTCTGCATTTGAGTATTTGGATCGATTTAGTTTCGTATATCTGTTTTTTAATTTGATCAGAATTTTGAGCATAACCGTACTTCTTCGGATACCTTGTGCCATAGACAAAAATTGAGATTTTACAAAAATGAGAACAAATCGTGGTTTAATGATATTCTTAGCATAAGTAAGTGCAATACGAAATATTATTATTGTTCAGTTATTGGGTTCTCCATTGCTTATCCCAAAATCAGCTTTTTTGATGTGTTTTATAGAACTGAAGGGATGCTGTATAAATTAACCATTGGAACATCTATAAAATAAATCGATGTAGTTGCTAGTTCAAAAATTGTTTAAATTTGGAGGTGGTCGAAAATCAGGAGAACGAAATTATGATATTATTTTTTGAAGATATGGTGCGAGGTTTGCTGTCAGTGATTATCGGGATCTTCGACGGAACATAATACGCGATAAAGCGAAAGGGATGGAAGTTGTCTATGGGGACGATTAATCATCCACTTGTACTCACCTCGTTTGTTTTTTTCGAAATATGCCCAAATATCATCAGGTTGGAAAAACTGATTGGTTGGCTTGAAGATGTTAAAAAGATTCGATCACTTGTGAATTAAAAAAACTAATGGCATTGAGAGGTAGCTTAGAAAGCGAGGTCAGTGATTTAAAAATGGTTAGTTTATAATTGGAACTGAAGCTCTGCAGCCAAATAATGAGTTGGACTGGTTTCCAGATTGTTATAAAAATTAAGTTCTGCAGAAACATAAGATAATTCATGTTTTTTATTTTTGGTAATTCCAATTACAGCATATGAGTTTGTGATCACTACTTACTACGCAATTCATCTGAAATAACTTTATGATAAAATTTCTTTGCTTTGGTTTGCTTTTGTATTTTTGTTATGATATGCACTTATAATTTGTTGCGTATCATTGTTTCGACATATTTGCAATTTAGAAATTTTTGGATAAAGATGATGACACATTTTTGTGTTACCCACTGTTATATGCTGACTGGCTATTTCCATTAGTGCATAGAAATTGTGATTTTTTGCATAATATGTATTAAGAGCTATTTTTTAAGGACGTTTACTTGATTGTATGTGTGTGTAAGTATATATGTATTTCTTTGTGTATCATTTTTTGTTATACATCCATGCACAAATTGATCTGGATTTGAATTTAGTGGATTAATATCATTCGAACAGTTTTCGGTGGATATCAGTATTGTTTCCACGCTTGGCAGGTTTTTGAAGGTCTTCGCCCAAGTTTTGAAATCTTAATTATGATATAACAGCAATAGTTGTGGTGTTTTTGGAGTTGACTGAAATTATCAGTTAATATGCTCGAGATTTCAATGAATTCACTGTGTTTTGTATTTTTTTTTTTGTATTCCATATTTTTTAGATCGTTATCAGATTTCGTGTTCCTTTTGACAGCATTTCATCCTATCTTCAGTTATGTTGAAACATCTTGTAAGTTTTTTCCGAACTGTTCTATATTTGCACTGAAAAGTATTTTGGAATACAGTCATCTTGCTTTCAATTATTACCACACACATACATTAATGTGTAGACATGGAAATTGGTATCCAAAAGTTTTCAGGTATCTTTTGGTCTCGGAGTTTACGTTGGTATCTATCTGGATCAAAACCGTCAAGTGAATATCTTTTTATTATCTCTTTAACTAAATTGAGTAGCGTTGAGTGACTTTAACCAAAGTAGAGCTATTAAGAATTGTTCCTAGAAGTGGAAAATTAAATTGTTAGAAAAGCTATGAGCCGGGTGCGAGTTTATTTCGAAAAATGATTAAAATCGACATGAATTGTTGAAGTGGAAATCGTTACTGTGCTGAGATAAATAAAACACTGTTGAAGGCAATCAATGGGAATTGATAGAAGTGCAATCTGAAAAAAATAATCTGACTGAAAGTAAAAAAAGATTGTTTTAGATTCAACTACTCTCTTCACCGAAAGAGTTATTTAATCGCTTTTTGGACGAGGCTGATCATTTCCTAACTGGTGTTCGTGGAGAAAGTACGAGTGAGCGGGATCAAGTGAGAAAGATGGAAGACGATTTCTTCAAGGACGTGGAGGATTGGTTCAAGCCGAAGAAGCGTTTTCCATAATAGTGATGTACCTCGTGTATTCACTTCTTACATATATGTATTAGAGTTCTTCAAGTTTCATTTTTTATTTTTGCTATGAGATATATTAACATCACTCAAGTTAAAAGTCTCTAAAATATATCTTGTTTTCAAATCCTTACTACTCATTTCAAGCGTTTGTTATTAGTAGTTTATGGTCATCATTGTCCGTGATTTGGAAGAAAATACATAGATATTCCTTTTAATAAAACCATATTGCTTTGAAATTATCAACTTTTGTTTTCAATATATTAGAACGGATTCAGTGATGATGAATATTGCATCAGAGATAAAACGTTTATGCAGAATGTGAATACGAAATTCCAACATTCGTATCTGATATACAAACAAATGCAGCCTGTCTACTGTGCTATGTTGAGTTGATTACTTCTTGCCAAAAGTTATGCGGTTGATTATTGCTGATATTAGCTGGAAGCTATTGTATGTAAGTTCTAATTTCGTGTTTTAAGCACCTAATTGTAAATGTGTAATGTCTTCCAAAATTCCATTAAGATAAATGCAATGATATATCAAAGAGACTTCTACAGTCTTTTGCATAAAACATCAATATTATAAAGTGATCTTGTAGAATAATTCTGATTTTTTTAACAACTATCAAGTTCGTAGAAGATTCAGGAAGTTGTTTAGGCATTTCTGATAAAAGCGCAGATAAACAACGATGAGTAATGAAACACATGGTAAAACTCATGAGGTAGGAATCAATTGTCATTTTCAACCTCCTTCGAACAAAATTTGAAGTTTCAGAGCCGTATTTTTGAAATCTTCAATCTTAAAGAAAAGTATTTATAAAATTTATAGGCATGTTTTGTTATTACCTTCGGCTATACTAAGGCAAAGTTGTCTGGTCATCTTAAAGATTGAGAGGAAATTGAAAGTTTTCGAATGAGATATTAGAAAGACTGATTTTCTTAGGTCTCAAAATAGCGTAGGGAATATGACCGCAAATAAAATATCACCACACCTTATTTTAAATGTCATCTCCATTTACATATTGCTGCAATTATGATCTTTAAAATTATGATTAAACTGCCACAATTTTTTTTTCCACAATTATAATTAAACTGTCACAACTGCTTTTTCCGTCTGAGTATTTCCCACTTCTCATTAATTCTTCAATATTACTTAAAGATCATTCTGAATATTTATTTCCATATGAACTCCTATTATAAAATGGACAACAATAAGAAGTTGATTATTGTTATTTTGTTCCTAACGTCTTTTCCACTATTCATACTAATGCTGGTTGAAGTATAGCAAGGACGATTTTAATGCCTATACAGATTCTTTCTTTGCATAAAATCAGGAAGGAAAAATTGCAGAATTTCAGTAGTATCAAATTTAATAGGTTGGACTTCCTTACATTGAGTGCCAAAGACTACCAGATGGAATGCAACTCGTGTGTAAGATATCACATTTTACAATTTAAATAATAATATAAGGTAATGGTCCGGAATGGGAAATTAAAATCTGAAAGAGCAAAATCTCAAGTAATTTTAGCCTGAATGTTTGAATTAGTTTCGAAAGAATTGAAATCGCTAAGCAACCCTTCAAACTCCATAAGCTCAAAAGCAATATGAGCATACTGTTTGCTGCATTTCAACATACTGCTTGCATGCTTGCTTTCTCATTTATTAAGAATTCCGTAATAATTCTACATGACAGATATGATAGATAATTTAAATTACTGATATGATAGATAGTTTAAATTATGTGAACATAATTTAAACTATCTATCATATCAGTCTAATAATGTTGCTGTATGGATAATGCTGGAGATAAATAGGCTAGAAAACTTCTAATTTTCATCTAAATCAAGAACAGACTAGTTAATTGGTAAGGAGTAATTATTTAACAAAAGATTTCAATAATAAAAAAAAAGTTCTTGCTTTAAGAGGTGAAAAGTTTGTAGTGAGAATAGTGAGAGAGAGAGAGAGAGAGGAAAAAAGTGAAAGAGCTTCCAATAAAAATTGATTCAAGCGATTCGTCGTGTCCTAAAATTTTAATAAAACTTCAGAATTAGAGGATAATTTGGACAAGAGGGAATACATTTAAAAGAGAGAAGCTCTTTCTGAAGTAAAGATTTGATTTTTCTATAGCAATTTTTTTGCAGAGCTAATAGTCTTCACCAAATGCTTTTTATCTATTGTCCGATCTAATTAAATTGGATATATTGACTGATTTTTTAGATAAATCAAACAAGTAATGCCTGATTTAGCTATCATCAGATAGTTTCTAAACCTTTGAAATTAGGATTTTCATTTTATTGATGTGATACTTATCACAAGAAATAACATATCAAAATTTTAAGTTTTTTAGGTTAAGAAAGCAATTTCAGAATTCGGTGATGTTAGGGCATCATTCACTTTATAATTTGCTTGATGCAGTGATAAGAGAATGCGAAAGAAGTATCGTAACATTGATGCAAGGCGGAGAGATGATGTTGTCAATAGGTCTACTTCCCTCATTAATGATATATCATGGTCGGTGGAGTAGTAGGACAGTTGGAATAAGTGATAAATATTCTTAGCTAACTAATAATATTACTTCTTGAATACTTATCTGGTAAGCTGTAGGTGGAAGATTGCCTATTTCTGTTGAAATTAGATGGATAGAGGGAAGAAAGTGAATTTTTTTTTAACTTCACAGATATTAGTATAGCTTGAAAGTTTTGCCAGTGGCTAAATTGCAGCCGCAGATGCAATAGTGCAGTAGTAGTATTAGATAGTGTGAGCAATAGTTACTGCTGCCACTAGATTATTGATGCAGACTGGAAGGGTAGGCTTTGTCGTCGTTATCAAATGAAAGTATTCGGATTGGAGAAATGCAAAGATGAGCCTCTGAAAGGTGAAAAGAAGTACGACGATTGCGACAATATTTAATTTCCCTTTTCGTTTCTTTCTTTCCCTTCTTCCTTTCTCATCCTTTTCTTTCCTGAAAACATTATCATCATCATCTATCGATTTAGGAAATAAAAGAGGAAGGCCTGGAAAAGTGCAGTGCTGATGAAAAATTTACATTGAAGATTTTAGATTGCAAGCATGGAATCGCATGAGTCAAATAATGGTATTAATTTGCCGGGTCCAAGTAACGTAGATTGCAATACCTGGAATTGTTATATCGGAAACACAAGTATCATTGATACAGGGTCTCAACCACCTGAATATCATCAAATTGTACCCACTCTTCGTTCAAATATTGAACAAATGCGGAAATGTATTTCTATTGACTTATTATCGGCAAGCCAAAGGGAAGCTAATTTCTTGCGAATGATTGATCGCAAAGCTCCAATACTTTATCAACAAAGTATCGTCGAAAATGCTATCCGACGCTACGAATGTTTTTGGCTTCCAATGCAGGTAACTTTTTAGTTCTGTAAATTTCCTTTTTTAGTTCTGTAAAAAAAACTTTCTTAAAATATTATGAATATCTTAAGAATTGAGCTTTTGTTAAAAGTAAATCTATCAGAACTTTCGAAGTCTTTTTTTGAAGACTAATTGATTCTTTGCCAAACTTCGGCTAAAAAAAATCGAAGAAATAAATTTTTCAAGTTGTTTTATTACTTTGCAAGACATCAGAATATTTGTAATGAGAATTTCATTATATCAGATGCATCTCTGATTGATTCCGAAGCAAGCTAAATGGCAATAAATTTATATTTTTTTTTAAAAGACGGAAGCATATCTTGTAGTCACTGTCTTACAAAATGATTTTGCATTTTAACACTGAAAAATCTATTAAAGTTTCCGCAGGCTTCACAAAAAATTCTTGATTTTGAATTTTCTTTCTAAAAATAATTCCTTGTAACTTCTCGAGTAGGCTAATAAATTTATTAGACATTCACTCAGGTATTTCAAAGATTGATTTCTTATGGCTAATTTTCCTCATCGATCAAATGAGCACTTCCTTCACTATTTAAAAAAAAAGAAACATTTTTGTAAATCACATAAGGTACGAATAAAAGAGTATGATGAAATGATGAATAGAAATCTGAAGACAAGTACAGATATCAGTCTGATCTACTCTTTCACTTTTCTCTCATTGTGTTTAGGGTCACTTAAAATTTAACAAAGAAAATTTCAAAAATAATCACGAAATGCTTACAGTCACATTTGTTCATGATTTTGCTTACTGTTAATTTTAATCAAGAAGAACAGACTATGATATTAATACACTTTCGAGAAGAGTTATTAGTTTGATGAGTGAAATGGGAAGAGTTGTATTCTGGAATTATAAAATTGCCAAATGAATTAATTAATTAATTTGTTCGCATGTAACATTTTGTTGATTAACTTTTTGTAGGCAGCCCGTCCAGATGTCAGAAATATACCGCCATTGGATGTTCATTGGGTATGGCATTGTCATATGCTTAGTCCAATACATTATCAACAGGTTCGTCTATTCAGAATAGAGGCAATTTTTTGTAAATAGCGTTTCAACTCATTTAATCATCTATTGTCTATTATGTCTTAATTTTCATAATCTATCAATGAGTATGATTGGAAATATCAACAAACAACACTTGTTCGCAATTTGAATATTTCTGTTTCTGTCAAAAAGTCTGATGAATAAATTTATTTAATCATAAACTCAGTGATATGAATGATGACAATGATATATTATTATGAGTAATTTCAGGATTGTGAAACGATTTGTGGAACAGTGATTGATCACAAACTACTCAGTTCGGATGAAATTCAACAACGATACGAGCAGTCTGTTAGTATTTGGCAAAATTTTTGTGGTGATGAACCCTATGATTTTTTGAGTTCCAAAGTGAATAACCATCAGCCATACCATCCAAGATCATCGTATGATATTGTCGCTGCTGTACAACGACAGCGTAATTTTAATTATCAGGTGATACTTCTTACAGAATCGTTTTTTTGCATTTTGAGATTATTAAATTTTTTAAAGCAAAACTATGGTTCAGTCAGATGTTTCTCAAATTTATTGAAATTTTGAATTTTTTTTAGCTTTCATCAACTTTCAGCACATCCATTCAATTTTTTAGATCTCACTGCCACACTATACGTCAACAAAATTTATTAGCAACGCTGTAGAACGATACCTCAATTTTCTATTGCTGAAACAAACTTACACGGATCAATTTTTAACGCCTTGCTATGATTTTGATATTGTATGGCATACACATCAGGTCCTTTGTTTTAAAATATTATTAATTAAATTGAAGTACAGATTTTGAGTTTAACCTATAATTAAGTTATTTGAACTTTTTTTATCGAGTTGTAAATTAGAAAAAAAAAATTTTAGCTCTTTAAGTTTCAAATATTGAATTCTTTCATGTTAATCGATTTAGGTCCATCCACATTGTTACCTACGTGACTGTACAGCAATTTTCGGTTGGTTGATGAAACACGATGATACGGTGAATGATCGTAATAAGAATAGTAAGCTACTGAAAGGTGAAGCGATGACGAAACGGCTTTGGGCTGCGCATTTTCAAACTGGATTTTGGCGCAGAGGTTCAATGTATAGGTACCACTAAATGCTGCAACATTTCTGAAGTTTAAAAAATTGACGAATATTCTTTAAAGTTAATTTTTTCACTTTTTTTTCTCTACGTGTTAAATTGTAAGTTCAAACTTTTACAAACCATACATTTCATTTTTTAAGAATTGGTTATCTGGTTCATCAGATATTTTCTGGACTAAGAGTACAGAGTTGTCTGTTCCTTACTACCTTCATTTAATCCTACGCTCGCACCACTGCGAAGATCATATAAAAACAATTCATTACTACCAAAAGGTCATATGAAAAGTTCCATCATGAATGGTTTTACGAATTACAGTCTTTCATTCTAGAGGACATCCAGCGCCATCTTTTCTGGGTTTTGAGACGCAAGATTTAAGTAGTATTACGTATGGTCAAATGGACATACCATCAATTACGCTTCGTGAAATTCCACTGCAACGAGAACAAGTCCGCTTGAAATTGCTCTACGGAAATAAAAAAGTTACAGCATTCAATGCAGATCTCACTTCCGAACAGGTAACTTTGTCGAAAATTTGAACTCTCGAAGTTTTACTTTTTCGAAATTTTCTCCAGCATGCAGTACGAATGATGAAAGTTCCTCGTAGCGCAATCATTTTTTTATTCTTTCAAATCAGGTGACAAAATCTGGTTTCTCATTGGTCTGGCAGCCGACCGAGACTTCTGCAAGATCATCAGTTGTGAAATTCCCATTTGAACGACGCAATCCTAAAAAATTTTCTCTTGAATTGGAACTTTTCGACAAAGTATTTCTGCAAAAGAAAGACGTAGTTAAGTTAAGTGGACTTGTTTCACTAGAACAGGTAAATATAAATCCATTCAGAATTCTTTTCCACTCTACTTCATTTCAATTTATTATTGTTTAATTACTTATTTGAATAATATACATTAGCCTTTAATTGTTATGAAATTTGTCTTGCTTTTGCTTGATTTATTACCACCAATGCTATCTAATTATGATTTATTTCTTCTTCCAGTTTAATCTTTAAGATTTTAGTGCTACAAATCAAATTGGAGAAATATCTTCACTGTTGTTCAGTTCTTAATTTAATTTGTTTAATTTCAAAAGTCGATTATATTGGATTTTATCACTTGTCACTAAAATTCTATCACTTGTTGGTTTTAATGAAATAAAATTTTATTATTTGTTCGTCGTAATGAAATTGTATCCATTTATATATGTGAAAATTTGCAGTTACTTCCACTTCCGAACTCGAAAGTATCCCAAAACGTTGTTCAAGTTACTGTAAAAGGTCGTGAGATGGATCGAGATTTGAAAGCGAAGGTCAGCATTACGACAAAGTACGTGAAATTATCAATTTATGACATCTTTCTTAACTCATTGATTTTATAAAATTTGATGTTAGCTATATTTCTGACTATATGTATAGGATACAATTTTTTCCAATTTTTTATCTGATAATTTTTTCCATTTATGTAATATTTTAAAACTAATTTCCAAATTATTTATTACTAAATTAAATTACAGCCTATCGTTGAACCGCGAGCTACAACTTATCGTTGGTGAATTTGTGCAACAGGAACTAATTCCCGAAAGCCATTTGTGGTTTTTATGTCAATCGGCAGCATTAAACCGCGCTGCTTTGCAAAAATCAGCAACCATTCATTTAGCCACACATACGTTTGTTTTTCTTTCTAGCTTCTTTTCTTGCAATTTCATATTCATCTACAGTATAGATAACTTAGCATTAATGGAAGATGAAACATAATCAAATTTTGAATTAGTTTGCAAAAAAAGTTTAAACAGAAAAGAATTTTTTTTTTGATGACGAAGTTCATCAATATGACTTTCAGATTAGTGGATTCTCGTGACGGTACAAAATATACCATTCAGGTAGCACATAGTGCTTCATTATTGTTATCAATGATACTGGTTTACGGTTGTCAACAACGATTACTTTGTATGGCTCATTTAATAGGTGCCGATACGCTCCCTTCAAAAGATCAACTGGATGCTAACCTCGTTAGTCTATCATTTATCAAATATCTCTTTGTAATACGGATATTTAGTTATATTCTACTGAATTTAAATAAGTCACCTCAATTTAAAACTTGGTATGATTCAGCCAGTATATATATATATATATTTCAGCAATTTCTACCTCATCTATCAACACCAGATGAGCGCGCAATTGCCGTAATGAATAAGGATGGTGATTTCGCTATTGTTAAAGGGAAATGGATTGGTTTCAGCCGTAAAGTCCCTGGTGGCAAAGAACAGAAAGCAAAACCTGGAAATCCTGGAAAATTGCAAGTACATTAAAGTTTTGTTTTGTGATAGAGAAAGAAAGAGAAAATGTGGGTTTAAATTGCAAATTCTCTTATTCATATTTTCTCTTCACATTTTAAAATAGGTTATTTAAGGTGGATGCATTCAACTTGCTAAAAAATACGGTACAAAAGTTCGAAATCCCAGGTCCTGAAGGAAGCACATTCTTCATCATAGGAGGTATGCGAGATAATTTTAAAATTCTTTGAATAAAACAAAACGGCTTGATTAATTTTCGAGTGAAAATTTTTGAATTATTAGAATTGCATCTTTAAATTATTATGAAGGTAATGCATATATAATATTAAATTTTGAAATGTATGCATTATGTTTCAATTTTGATAAAATATGAAGGCGTCAGGTTAGATGAAATAAATTAAACTTATCTGATATTGTGAAATAATTTTACGAAGTAACAGAAGCTAATAAGAAAATATTTACATGCTTATACAATTGTATTTCAGAAGCACAAGCACGTTTACCAAGCAAACGAATACAGTGTCGATCAATCCAAACTGCTGAACATCTCGCTTGTGTTTTCAGTGTCGCAACTTTATTCGTACTTTGCAATCCTGATAAGGTAAATGTTTTTAATTCTTAATTTGCTACTAATTCATACACTGTCTTTTTCTTTATAGAAACTTTTTTTAATTTCATTTTTTTTACACTTTCTTCTAAATTTGATAGATTGGCATAAGATAAGCAAAGCATTTGTTATGTTACTGCATTGATGATGATGATACAAATGATTCAACAAGTTAAAGTGTAATATTTCGTACTTGTTTATTATTCTGTTAAATATTGATTAAATCGACGTAATCAAAAATAATAAGTGAAGAATAGAGATTGAGAGAATTCAAATATGTGATGAATGATTAGAAGCAGTCAACAATTAGACGAAAAGCTGGCATGAAATAATGACTAGAAAGATGTATGAGTCTTTTTTAATGCTAAAATTATATTTTAGGTTCGTTTACATGGTGATACGAACAGTATTGCACACCAATGTCATAAGTGGCCTTTGACAATAGCATGCGGTTACGGTAAAGCATTACCAAACAATAGGCATATGAATTCGCATCAAGAAAATAACGAAGATTTGAATATGACTGCTGCAATGATTGCTGTTTGCGCAGGAAGTTGCGACGATGGTGCATGCGGAGCATGTGGTGCTTGTGGTTCGTTAAAAAATCAAATTTTTTTTTATATTACACTAATATTTTATACTTTTTTAATTCTTCATCTTCATCGCTTTATCAGATTGTTTCTTCAAATTTATTTTTACTCTGTTTTCAATATTTATACATTTTTAAATCGTTTACACTGATTTTGAAGTGAATAATAATCTCTCAGGAAACTGTGCTTTCATTCCTCTTGCATTATAGGTTATTCTCCTATTTCAAATGAAAAGTTCAAAAATTTCTATGATATCATAAGGTATGCTGTTTGACAGTATTTGGTGATATTCAGTATTTTAATATTTTATAGGTGCATGTGGTGGTTGCGGTGGTTGTGGTGGTTGTGGCGGATGCGGAGGTTGTGGCTAACATTATGATCGCCATCATATGAATGTTTTGAAAGTTCACAATCAACACCATTACAATTACTATAGTTGTTGCAGTAGCATTTCCTCATTTTTGAATTTGAACAGAAATTCAGTTCTAAATTTGATCCATTTTTTTAGCTAAATTATCTAAAAATAATTTTTATAATTAATATTACAGCTAATATGAAACGTACCAAAGCAAAATTTTTTAATTAGGAGAATTCCAAGCAACGATCTTTTTGGGTAAATGGTTAAATTTCTGTTTTCAGTACTGGTTGAGATTATGAATGTATGTGTGCCGTTCATTTAGTTATCCGTTTTAGGCGTTTAGTTTATTTTAGGAACTAACGAAAGTGGAAACATATAACTATTGATCGGTTTCTTAAAATCCATTTTGAATTTCTCGAAAATTTCAAATAACTTCAC